GGCACACTCAGACTCAGGTCAAAATAAATGATACACGAAGCCTCAAACAGGAACAGGAAACAACTTCAACAGCCCCAGAGGGTATAAAATCCTACTCCCTACATATGCTCCCTCTCTTTTCTTCCAGAGCCATCTTTCTGTCTGGCTCTCCTCTTCAATAAACTGCAACCTTCTTTCTAAAGCAGTCGCCATGTTGTTTATTCCCAGCTTGGACTGAACCATGATGAAGACTTTTCCTTCAACGCTATTTTCATATCTTAGTTGTCCTTTGCTCATAGATTCATGCCTGGTTTTACAGTCTCTTGGCAGGGAGTCAACTCTCTTCCTTGACTCTGAGCTTAATAGCTGTGGCTCTACTCTTTTCTTCAAATATATCTTTGGAGAAATGATTACCTGAACAACTGAATGTTGGTTTCATCAGAATGTATTTATTTATTTCAAAATGTTTCAGACTCATCAGGGTTTTCTTTTGCCTAATTTAGACTTCTGTGAGAAAATTGGGAGAAAAGGCTTCCATCAAGGCTCCCATGTAGGCTGCTGTTACGTAAACAAGGGTGTTCCATGAGCTGTATGCCTGTCAGCAGAACTTTTCAGCAGGTTGTAGGTTAGGTTATCATCTGTGGGTTCTGTTTTGCACGTCTGACCAAATCTAACAAAGGCTTTTCTTGGGCTTCCGAATGACTTCAACATCTGGAAGACCAACTTGACTTCAACAGTTCCATATAACTTCCACTTCTTAATGGAGTTTCTCCCAATTGAAATTGCTAATTGTAAACATTTATAGATGTCTTTCATACCTCTCCCACTTTCCTAAGAGTGAAAAAAAATATGTTCAAATGCTTAGAGAGGTTCTTAATGTAGTTCAGGATTGTTGAAAGCAGACAAAACAACAATGACACTCTGAGAAATTAGAAGGGTCAGAGTAAATCAAAAACCTTTTAGGGCCTGAGTTCCATATTAGAAAAGTGTCCAAGGTTTTATATGTGTCATAGGGATCAGATCTTAATTTGAATCTCCAAACAACAATTTGCAGATGTATATAATGCTAAACGTTTGTCCATGTAGAGGTAGTATGTATTCACTTAGGGATTCAACAAAATCTACTAGTTGTCCAACAATGCCTAAATTTTACATGCTGTTGTAGTTAATTGCCTTTACCATTATTAAATTTTTCTAATTGCTAAGAGGTTTACAGAAAACATAATAGAAATAATACAGACCTCATTGGGTTTTAAGATAAATTTAAATCATAATAATCCCAATAAATTTACAGCATTTTAACGTAAAACCTAATTAGAGCATAAAGTAACATCACTGTGTAAGAACAGTGTAATATAATAAGTCACTTCCTTCTGTACATCAAATGCAGTTAAGCAAAGAAGGCAATAGTGGCTTGCTATCAACTAAACTATCATTGCTTAAAACTATCATTTTAGAGCAGACATGTCAAACACAAGGCCCGGGGGCCCGTGAAGTGGTTTCATGTGGCCCATGAAGCCATCCTGGAAACAGTGAGGGAACGGGCCCCTCTGCTTTGGCCCTGGCCAGCCGAGAGCCAATGTACAATTTTGTGGTGGCCATCTATGCTGAAACACATTCAGTCTTAGCTCCATAAGCCTCCCCTCCCGCGCATGGCCTGAGAGGAACAGTGAGGCTCCTCCAGTGGACCATGCCTTGGCACTTGCCCTGGTCCCATCCCCTTCTGCCAGAGACCCTCAGATCTGTCCCACTCCTGCCCAGGCCCCCACAGGCACCCTTGACACGAACAATACAGAGCTGGCCACACCCACTCCATCCACGCCCACCCAGTAAGCTGCACCCATCCTGACCACACCCACCCGGCCCTCTGAGGGCAACCACAATGCTGATGTGGCCCTCAATGAAATTGAGTTTGACACCCCTGTTTTAGAGAGTCAAGAATTGGCAGACACTCCAAAGGACGTGTACATTCCATTTTAAAAAACATTTCCTTGACATGATATTCACACACCCCCCGCCCCCAATGCCCTGCAGATTGACTCCTAGTGACTTACCTGGACAAGTCCCTGCAAATTTATTGGCAAGATTTTTGGAATTTGCTTGCCACTGCTTTCATTCTGTAGCTGACAGAAAGGCCCAAGTCACCCCGCTGGCTTTATGCCAGTACTTTTACTGTCAAACTGCTGTCTCCAATATGGGGTGCTATGGTATCAATTCAAAAGCCTTTTAAAATCATAACACTATCACCCTTGGACTGCTCTAGAATCGCCATCTTGGATTCATCACTACGAAATTCCCAATGTCTAAAACACGCTTATTTACTTCAGTATATGCTTCCAATAAACAGGAACTTGCTACTTAATTACTTGCTCATATAATACTAAGGCTCAAAATGCCCTGCTTATAATAGAGGAAGCTTCTTCACTTTAAGTGTAAGTTCCCTTCACATGAATCACATAATCTTTGCAATGAATATAAAATATCTGAAGTTTTTAAAAAATCATTTAAAAAGAATTCTTTTTCATGCTGCTGCAGTGTAAAAATTGTGCATCTAAGAACAAACATTGTAAAAGATCGAGGATCTTTGTAGCAAGCGCAGAAATGCCATAGCTAGAGTGCCAAGATTGCTAGGCCACGTATTTTCCATTTAAATGATAGTTTTAATGTCCAAATCCTTTGCTAAGAACTAGAGCCACTACTGAGTTTGCACAGGGCTTCAATTTCTGGGTACTTCTTTTTAAGTCATAGCATCACTTCCAGAAGCTGTCATATCATTACTTCAGATATTTTAAGATTCATTAGGGAATAGCAATACACTAAAAAAAGATTTTTCACTCATGATAATTACTATCCATTTAAGAGGATAAGAAGAAACATTGACCTGTTATTGTCAAATGCTTAACATCACCATCATTGTGCTAATAAACAATTTTCATAAATCTGTAGATCTAAATCTGTATTAATTACTGCAACATCGTGAAATCAAACCTACCTTCTTACTTTCACATCTCACTAGCATATATTAGATTTACAGCTCACTTACATTCAGCCTAAAATCTTCTTTCAACAATACAGTCTAAAGCAGCCCTGTACAGCATGGGACACATAACCCCCCACCACTAAGAGCCTTGTATGGCTCACCAACTTTTTTAAAAAAAATAAATTTATCATCCTCCTAAAGATGCGCTCCTAAGCACCTCCAAACCTCGCCATCCACCGCCAGATCCAGTACTACCCCCACTAATGCTAGCCAACAATGAGCTGATCAGTGTGCCAGGATTTCTTTGCAGCCAACAATTATTTTTCACTTGTCATCGTAGCCATAGCCCCTTGCCTTCTATCTGTTGTGCAGGTTTGGTCTAGTCCAGTGGTTCTTAACCTTTTTGAAAGAATCGCCCCCCTTGAACCAATGAGGAAGTTGTCATCACCCCCCTCCCCCAACATAACCTCTCAATCACAACATAAGAATTAATTCTTCAATGTATGCAAACACTTTTTTTGTTTTCTTTAAAACTGTCATCAGGAAATATCGATGCAAATAATTTATTTCCAGTCTTTTTCCCAGATCTCAACTGTTTGAAAATTTTTGGTGCCACCCGTCACTTTATTCCCAAACTTCGTGATACATGTATTTCATTATTATCTTATGTAATTCAATCCACTAATAGCGAGTGATCTGATGTTTTTGTACGACAGATATGTAGTGATTCACTGTACAAAAAGTCTCAAAAGTGTCCCCAAAACTTCTCACTCCATCGCCCCCATATTGCCCCCTTTTTGTTCCATCGCCCCCTTGAAAAATGAAATCGACCCCTGGGGGGCAATATCACCCAGGTTAAGAACCACTGGTCTAGACATCAAGTTGCCCATACTACAGAGTATCCCCTACCAGCTAACTTCAGTAAGCATCTATAAAAACACAATGTTAGTTTAAAGCAGTGGTTCTCAACCTGTGGGTCGGGACCCCATTTGGGGTCGAACGACCATTTCGCGGGGGTCGCCAAACAATGCAGTCCGCCATTATTTTCCCCTTTTCCTTAGCTGTGCTACTCCCTTTTATTCTATTGGCTTTTGAAAGCCAATAGAATAGACTCTCTTGAATAGAGTCTAATTCTATTGGCTTTCAAAAGCCAATAGGAATTGTCCAGGCTGACTCTGCCCTGCTGAGCCCGCCAAAAGTCCCATTCTGCAAACGGTGCTGCACCAGTTAAGTAGTCCTCGACTTACGACCGGTTGAGTAGTCCTCGACTTACGACCAGTTGGGGGGTCGCAGCATTAAAAAGGTTGAGAACCACTGGTTTAAAGCAAAAGGAAGAATGACAACAATAGGAAAAAAAATTAGGTAGCTGAGGACTGAACGATAGAATTCTTGATGCTCTCTCAGCTTGACTGTTTGTTTGGAGAAGCTTCATTACCCAATTAGGTAACATCAGTACAAATTAATCAGTGAGTACTGACGTTAGCTAGTTGGCAGTGAAAGGTGTGGAAAGCAAACTCAGAAAGCACCAAGAACTCCATAAAAATGATAACAGCCAGCTGACTTTGGCTCATCACAGAAAGCTAAAAGGGACTAGATCTGGTTAATGCTTGCACGGGAAATCACCTGGAAATCCCACCGCCGTAGACTATCACTATATATCTTTGCCTTTATTTTGTACAATTCAAGGCAGCGAAGATAATGCTCCTGCCTCTTTTTCTTCTCGCCACAACAACCCTGTGAGGTGGGCTTGTGCACCGTTGCTAAGAAAAGCATGCAAGTGCCTCCCTCTTTGCTTCCATCCACCCACGGGGCCCCAAAGGGCACCGCCGGGAGCAGCAGCCAAGCAGGGGCTCCGGACATCCTTGCCACCGGCGGTCCTCGCCCAGGAAGAGCGGCCGCCGGCTCCCTCCCTGTCCCGGGAAGCCTCGCCAGTCAGGCTGGCAGGGGCGCCAACGAGAAGAGCCCGGGAAGAAGAGCCTCGGTCGCGATCGGCTCAGAACCGACGTTGCCAACCCGGCACCCACTTCCTCCCGCTACTTACACAACGACTCGGGAAACGATGCACGACACCATGTTGTCTCCCGAAGGGCTGGGCCTCGGATTCTGCCACCGCCCCCAGAGCGCACACCAGCCGCAAAAAGCCTCGGCCGGACCCGCCCTTCCCGCTCGCCGGCTCCTCACCCCGCCGCGCCTCGAATGGCTCCCAAACGTTTCACCGAAGACAACAGAGCCCCGCCCTCCCTCGCCTCAGTCGTCACACCAGGCGTAGGCCACGCCCCCTCGCCACGGATTGGGCCCTGTCGTCGCCGGCCTTCCTCCGCCGTCCGCTCAATCGGCGGAAGTGCGCATGCGCCGGGCTTTGCTCGGGGAGGAGAGAATGGGTAGGTAACAGGCCGGGAATCTGCGCAAGCGTAGCTTTTTTCTCTTTGTAGGTTCATCACGCGTAGGGTAAATTCCTTTTTTCTAGGGGTTTAAATCCGGCTCTTTAGGGGCGTAGTGATGGTTTGATTGTTTACTGTCTTTGTCGTTGACTTATAATCCCATCTTTTGAACAGTTTGCATAGGATCCAAAGCATTGGCGTCGCTTTCGCGCAAGACTTGCTTCTCGCGGGGATTTCCCCCCCCCGGCTCCATCCATTGGCTGATTTTTCTCAAAAACTGGGGCGGGGGAAGGGAGGAAATTGGAAAAGCGAGCGAGGTCGGCCTTAGCAATCGAACCAGTGCAAGATGGGTTTTATGTAACATTGACCTGCGTGCATCCGGCAAGCGCTTTCCCACTGAATTACAGGAAACGCGGTGAGGATACTGCTTTCTTTCAGATAAATGACTTCAGATAGGTAAGATGACCTCTGGCAGAAAGGCATTTCTGCACATTATAGAACGCTGGGCTGGGTCTTCGATGTTTGAGGAATGCCTTTTGAGAATGGAGGATGAGAAAAACGTCAGGAGGGGCGAGGAGAGGAATCCAAAAACTGGGCATATCTGAATATCCCGAGGGGCGAGGAAAGGAATCCAAAAACTGGGCATATCTGAATAGAATAAGCAGATTTTATATATTTACATATATATATATATATATATATATATATATATATATATATATATATATATATACATATATAAAATCTGCGTATGCGTATATATATATTTATATATATATACGCATACATACATACATATGTGCATATATGCATATATGAGTTCTCTTTCCAGATGCTGGTTAAGTTTTGCTTAGGGGTATTTTTTTTCTCCAAAAGCTGTTCTAAGCTCTGCTCTCATTTTGTTGTTGTTCTGTTCTAAGATGCTACTGATAAATAGAAAAGAAGGGTAATGGAGGTAAAAAGGAGAAAGACTCTTTTGAGGTAGGTTCATATCCAGGTGACCTTCGGGATACATCCATGTGGTGTTCATAATACTCAGTAACTATTGCTTTCTGAGATTTTTAATCTCGGTCTAGTCCAGGGGTCTTCAAACTCGGCCCTTTTCTGACTCATGGACTTCAACTCCCAGAATTCCTCAGCCAGCGTGCCTAGTCCATAGCCCTTTTACTTCCTTGCATATTGTGTATCTAGCAAAGTATTAAACAAGACTTTTGCGGTTTAAGAATTTCAGAATCAGCCAAGGTCAGATTGGAGGCCTCACATGGCTGAGCTAATAATTTTGATTCTCCCATTCCTGTAATAATTTTAAAGGAACCTTCTCTTTAGATGGGCCTTACAGTAAAAGAACCCCATCTTCAGATAATATATTGAACGGTCTTCAGGGAAAATACTTTATGGATGGTATCTTGTTTCTCAAAAGCTGTGTTTGCACAACTCGCTGAAATACACAGTCTACAGTACTGACTTATATGAACCCAACCCAGGTAATTAAAGACCAGTGAGACCTGAAAGCCAGAAAATTGAGTAATTGAGATTAACTAGGGTTAAATGTCTTCTGCAAGCTAGGAGTCACTGCAGATTTCAAAATTTTTGTGAGTGGATCTTGGAATTCCATTGTCACCTGTAAGTGTTTATCTCTATTCAGATAATAATAGAGGAGTGGAAGTTAAATAGCATGAAGGTTGATATTGGAGAATACAGTGTTTCAGAATGAAGGTTGATTTCAACATGAGAATATATGAAAATTAAGATTTCCTTTATTAAATAGAATGGTGTCTTTTCCTGTAATAATTGTTTTGGGCTCCTCTGCATTTGCTGTAGTTCTGTGAACAGCTACCTGAAAAAATTAGAATTCTAAAAGATTAGAATTAGAATTCTAGATTTAGAATTGCTAAGGTGTGTTGCATCTGAAGGTAAATCTAATAGTTCTACAGAACCCTCACATCAAATAATGCTTCAAACAACTGTAAGGAGGGCCTCTTGAAATGAAAATCTGATGGCCTCAGTTGTTTGAAAATGCATGCTGCTATCTAGAAAGTAAATGTTTCTGAGATTTCAGTTCGCTAGGTATAACACATGATGAACTGAAAATTCATCTTAAGGCAATTTCTTTAATAGGCAAAGGTTGTAAAATAATTTAAATTTTAAAGCACGTTAGTTAACAAAAAATAAAGAATGAAAGAGAAAAAGGTGTGTTTGACATGAAAGGTCAGTCCCTTAACTGGGATGTAATTGTAATCTGCGGAGATAGAAAATTGCTTTGTTTATTAAATTTACGCCTTGCCTTTCCTCTAGGATATGGGTGTCAAATTTGCTGTGTCATGTGACATGTCACGACGTATCGTGACTTTTTTTGCATTGGGTGGGTACGGCCTTTGTATGATGCAACTGGCCCACGGGCCTGCAGTTTGACACCCTGCTCTAGGAGCTAAATTAAGTATACAGAGACTCTTCTATTTTATTTTTTCATTGAAGCCCACATAAAATAGATTAACCTGGAAGATAGTGACTGGCCCAGAGTCACCTGGGAGCTTCTAATCCTATGAGAGGCCTTGAATCTGGATCGTCTTAGTTCTAATCCATAAGAGAATTTGATATTTTAATAAGTTGAGAGATGTTTAGATTGTTATACATCTTTGGAAAAATAATAACATAATAGTTAAACCAAAGCTAGTACACGGTCTTATTGACCCAGTATAACATACAATCTCATGTTAATATAATCTTAATGCAATTAGCACCCTTCCTGGAGCAATAGGTATAGAGCAGAGATGTCAAACTGCCGGCCCACGATCCCACTCCATTGCCGGCAATGGAAAAAAAGTTACGATACGTTGCGGCGTTGCGAGTTTGCCATCCCTGGCATAGAGATACCTTGTTTTCAGATTTTCTAGCACTAGCATGCCCTATTTCAGTGATTCCCAGTTTAGCATCTATTCTACTGATTCTAATCTAAACCCTCCCTGGAATGAGTCAGTAGATCCCAATTATCTCTTTCTTGTCTTCCTGTGAGCATTTATTGAATGCTTTGGGGCAGGTGTGTGCCTACATGTGCTAAATGAGTCAGAGCTGGGTGTGTTAGTTACCCATAAAGTCATAGCTTGTTGTGTTAATGAGACAGTAGATTATTTGCTGTTTATATTCCAATAAACCACCTTCATTTGTTTATGAATGATAGGATTTGTTGTGTAACACGAGAAGACAGACTTGACTGTATAGATTGTGCAAAATATTTGATCGCCAGTGTGGAAACCTGAACATTTTTCTTTTAGTTACACAAATTGGTGAAGTAGACCGGAGTCCATGTTAGTCTAGGAATGTTTATTTACTATATATATATATATATATATATATATATATATATATATATATATATATATATATATATTCTATATCCCCGAGAGACTGGAACAGGAGCATGAAAGCTATGTGTGCTTTGGCAGTAAAAGTCTGGCTTGTTTTTATGCCTCCCATATACATGGATGAAAAGGAGAAGCACACATAGTAAATAGCAAGGCAATGTGGTGGGCTGAGAGAAAATCAAAGCCAATTTGTTGGGGAATGTTTCACACAAAGGCTGCAGATGGAGAAAAAAGAATTAAGCAATAGCGAGTTGGGAAAGAGATTATAGAGGTCAAATATGATGGAAATACCTTATTCTACTTGGATCGACCAAGGACCTTAGTGCAGTGGTGGGGAACCTATGGCCCGGGTGACCAGAGGTGGCACTCAGAGGCCCTCTCTGTGGGCACCCATGCCATTGCCCCAGCCTGCTTCCCCCGCGACCCTCCTCTCCAGCAGGCCCCACTGAAGGAGAGTCGACCTCGAGTGTGGCCCACACGGAGCAGCGCAGCCAAGGACATGGCACCCAGGCAGCGTTAGACCAGACTCTGACTTCAACCCTATCATGCAGTTGATGCTGCAGGGGCGCGGGCAGAGATGTGGCCGCCATAGCACTGCTGGGCTGCCTGGGCGGACGGCGGGCCCCGAAGGGGGGGCGGCGGGAGGGTCCTGGGCAGGCGCGGGGCGGGGGATGAGGGGCAGAGCGGGGGCGGGACAACGGGAGTGGAGCAGGGGCAGGGGCCAGTTTGTGAAACCAGAATCAGGCCAAACTTCACAATTATCAGGGATTGATTAGCGAGGGAAGTAGTGTGAAGGTGCTTGCGAAGTAGTTGTTTTGATTCCTGAATGCTGTATGCCTAAATATTAAACGCTTTTGGGATATATTATTTTTGCTTTGTTCTGAAGTCACAGGGCTATCCTTGAAGGCAGCATAAATACCAGTATTTGTCGTGTCCCAACAGAAAACTGAACTTGTAAAGGGTGTTAATTTCTTAGTGTCAGAAAAGGAACCACAAATTATGCTTGACTTGTAAAGTTTTCAAAGTGTAAAAATTGTTTTGCAATGTAGGTTTCTTCATGCCTTAGATATTACATCTTTCACAAAGGCAGTTTTAAAAGAGAAGCATTCTTTATGCACAAGAGGTGTACTTTATGGGGGAAAAAGCCAGTGGAGTCAGCTCTGTATTATTGCCTTGGTAACTGAATCTTGGTGGAAAAATGCATACACTGTTTTAACTAAAAGAATTATATGACTGCACTTCTTAACAATTCTAGGCCAATTTCTAATGGCAAAAGGATAGTTACAAAGATGGTCACCAAGACTACACAAATAATAATTAGATGGCATTTTGTAAATACTGTGATATTTCACAATTATTTGAGCTTTGCTAGAGAGAAAGTCAGCAAACCGACCTGGTAAGAAAAAGATGGAATCGAAAAACCCCCCCCCCCCTCAAACACAAGGACATCCTTATAGCTCAAATTTTAAACTAGATATATTTAAT